TCCTCTATGCTAGTGTCTTCTGCATTTGTACTGGGTGGACTCGGGGCCTGAGACTGCATTTTGTTCCTTCTCTTTGTCATTTTGTATACCACTGTCTCCTGACCTTTGGTGTGGAGCTTAGATAGAGTTATTACCTTAGCACCAGGACCGGACCTGCAAAGTTCAGATTCCTCCAGGTGGGTGTTTTTGGATCTGGCTGCTGCGCCCCACTTCTTTCTGCTGCAGCCGTTGGAGCTGAACCCTTTGTGTCTCTCTGGCAAGATGTTTTGCTCCTGAATCAGCTGGGTGGATCTTGCCTCAAGCCTCTTTGCAGGGAATTCTGCTGAAGGGTTCTGCGCTGGGCCTGCACTCTGGATCGAATGAGGATCTGTGGGCCTCGGGTGGTCTCACTCAGACGCTGGGCCTGGGCTCTGGGTCTATTCAGGATCTGCGGGCCGCGGGTCATCTCACTCACTCGCCAGGCCTGCACTCTGGGTCTATTCAGGATCCCACGGGCCCTGGGTTGTCTCACTCACTCGCCTCACCTGCACTCTATTCAGGATCTGGCAGGGTGGTCTCACTCACTCGCTGGGCCTGTGCTTCTGATCTATTTAGGATCCGGCGGGCCCCGGGTGGTCTCACTCACTCGCCAGGCCTGCGCTCTGGATCTATTTTCTGATTAGACTTTAATCCTCACCATCATTAAGAACCTAAGCACTTCTCATACTGAGTGCAGTTGGCATTACCCATCTTCCTTGTATGAGAAATTGATACTTTTCCTCCCTCCTTTCTTCCCTCCCTCCCACCTTTCCTCCCTCCTCCCCTCCCTTCCTCCCTCCCCCCTCCCAGCCTCCCTCCTTCCCTGCCTCCCTCCCTCTCTTCCTCCCTCCCTCCCTTGCTTCTTTCCAGCAGTACTGGGAACTGAACCCAGGTCTCTCACACTGAAGTCCATTCCAGCCTTGTTGAATTTTGAGGCAGGGTCTCTAAGTCATCCAGGCTAGGACTGACCTTGTGGTCCTCCTGCCTCAGCTCTCGGAGTGCTGGGATAGTAGGTATGCATCACCATGCCCAGGGAGTACTTTTAAGGATCATAGCTTAAGATGTTTGGTCTATTATTAACTTCGTCATCAGTCCTAACTTTTTTGTAAACCTGAAGCATGCATTATAGCCTAATACGAACTTACTTTAAGCATATCATTGATATATAATTTCTAAGAAACTCATTAAAATCCTGAGACTTTAGTTTCATGTAGAAAAAAATTAACACTATATTAAAAATAATATTCCTTTATTTAAAATCATATTTAAAATATCTTAAATTCAGTAGCCTATTGATTCAATAGCAGACAATTTTAAGATACTAAGCCTTAATTATTCATGTGAGGATTACAGACATTTTCAGCTGTACACAGCCAGGGGATTGTACAGTCTTCATTTTTTTAACCAAACATATGATGTTTGTTCAAGGAAAATGTAATTAGGCAGGCAAATCAGTTTCAAGAAAAAGCAGCACATATGCGAATCTTGATCCAGCTGCGTTGCTCTCACTGTTCCTGTAGCTGTGGAGAGTGGATTCCAAGCGTGGGACAGTGGCGTTGCCGGCACCTGGGCTCCGCTCCGTTGCCGCCCTGCTCCCGGGCCCACTTCCCTTCCCGTGTGCCTCTGCGGCCTTTGTACCTGCTCCTTCAGCATCACTACTCTGTTCTTTTTTCCTTCTGAAACAAGGTCTGCTCCATATTATAGGCTGGCCTCAGAAGTGTGGCAATTCCCCTGCCTCAGCCCCAGTGCTGGGTCTCAGCACCCCTGCTCCCACCTCCTGGCTGCGCTTCCACATTCTTCCAGACCGGGAGGTGGTGACAGTTCCAGCTCAGCGGCTCTGAGGGCTGGGAGTGTCCCCAGAGTTGGAGGCCAGGCTGGCCAAGGAAGGGGTGGGGAGGCTAAGCGGACATGTGGCTGCGTGGCGCTGCAGCACTGGAGCTCCAAGCTCCGGAACCTCCAGGAGCTACTTGCCGATTCGTGATCACAGCACTCAGTCACGGTGCAGATGAGTGACCCCAAGAGCCCATTCCTGATGAGAACACTGCGAACAGAGGGCTTCTGGGACGCTTTGTGTCTAAATGTGCCCTCCATGCCTGGCACTGTGTTGGAGAAGGCCAGGTCAAGAGCGTGGGATGCTGGGATGCAGGATAGGTGATTATGAATCAGTCCCGAGTGGGCTGGCACCACCCAAGCCTAGATACAGCAGAAAAGGGGCTGGGAAAACTGCTATGCTTTTCTTTGATGCCTTTTGCCTGCTGTGGAAGGCTCTCCTGTGTGAGGCCCCTCTGCCACGTCACCCTGCCTTGGCGCCAGCCCGCTGTGACCTGAGCCCTCCGCAGACCGTGAGCTGCAGTGAAGTGCTCCTCCTTTAGCTGTGGGCGTCAGGGGCTTTGTCTCAGTAATGAAAAGAGGAGCCAGGGTGACTTC